AGTAACAATTAAATTATCTCTAAAAATTAGGTTATTACATAGCCTACTGTAAATATATTAAAAGGGCATTACTGGAAAAATTAAATGTTATATCATACTTTTAAAATGAATTTAATCAAAATGTTTAACTTAACATTTTATCATAGTTGAAGACATTGAGATCCAAATTACTTTACTTTAAGTATAATTAAACAGGGATTGGCGACCTGTCCAGGGTGTACCCCGCCTTTCGCCCAATGTCTGCTGGGATTGCAGGATAAGCGCTTGACGATGGATGGATGGATAATTAAACAGTAGGCGGCTCTTGGTTGCCAACGGCACGCCTCCTTTTGCTTCCCCTGTCTACTGCCAGGTTGAACCAACATATCACATGCTTAATGATTACATCATCGGTGGCAGCACGGGAGACAAGGTTTTTCCTCACAGCATCTGTAATCACACAAGCAGATTTTCATACAACCCCCGTTGCAACCACCAGTTGCAATTCCTTTAGCTTCTTGGCTAACAGCTGACCTGTTCAGTGACGCTGACATGAGCCGCGCATTCTCGTCAATGATGGTGCGTTCAGTAACGCAGCACTACTTGGATTAGTAACTGTAATACTATTAGACTACTGCTTTGGAAATAGAAATCCGTTACACTACTTATTGGTAAAGTATATTATTATAGTAATGCTTTACTGAGCTTCAACCAGAAGCAAATTAGCTTAGTTTATCTTAAAAACCTGAAAGAGGTGAAAATGCATTATTTTCTCCCACAAGCTTTGCACAACAATGCCTGTGACTGTCTAGTACTCACTGCCCACACACACACCAAACGAGAGAACAAAAGCCTCAATGCTTGTGAGGCAGTGTTTTCAGGAAAAATTCAACCTGTAAACCTTAACGTACCAAAATCCACTTAATTGCACCTCTTAAGATCCCTAATAGAAACTTCATATTTTGTTGGTTTAATCTGGAAAAAAAAAAAACTAGGTGTAACAAGAGGTTATCTAATGAACTATATTTTGTAAGACCTGTGCCTTGTAACAAGGAGAGACGTCAGAAAGGCATTTGTGCACTTCAGCTTTAGCACAAATTAAACCAACAAGGTATAGGCCTACTATGTTGAGTAATAAGCTTTGGAGGTACTGGGAGGTGGACTTAGACACTCAGAGTTACAGCAGAGGAGAGCAATTTTCCAAAAATGTCAATTAGTGATCAGCAATAGGCAATTACTTCAGTTATCTATTTCGGGCTATTTAAATATGTGACACAGAGGACCAGTAGCAGGGGATCTCACATTTAGGAGGGGATCTCACATTTAGGAGTTCTCTATTTGAAGAAAGGCTAATCAGTAGGTGGGATGATATCTGTGGAACATGTAGGAATACAGAAGTTCTGAAGTTGAGAAAATGTAGATACACAGGAAATGGCTGTCTGATGTGAAGAGCTGAAAATATTTTAAATAGAACGTGCATTTGAACTGACATATTTTTTTCCGATGGGTCTTCTTTTAGGAGGCAAAAATATGTCTTGCTGCTGACCTTGTTCACAGCAGTTTGGTTCAACTTTTAAGCCAAACAGACAATGTTTTCTGAAACCCCTGCATTGACTCCCAACCCTATGCATCGATACAGCGGTCTAAATCAAATAATTAGCATGGCTGTTTTTTTTAATGTAGTGTTAATGTCAGTTTAAACACTGCCTAAGACTGACTTCAAATCGTTTAAAATGGAAAGGATTTCTTTCCATTCATCCCCTTCCAGTTTATCCTCGTTGCGACCTCATGACAGAACAGATAATGATGTTCCATGTGACATGTTTAGTGTCATGGCCCCTGATGGTTGCCAGGGAAGAAATCTGAAATCAAACAAAAACATCCTGTCAATATCTTATAATTTACAGCACATTTTCAAATATATATTTTATCAGACAGTGTATAAATCCAGGGTTAATTACAATGTTTCTTCTAAAGACCATTCTCAATCAGCCTCAACCTAAGGGAGATGTGCCAACATTTTCAGCCTAATTTTACAGCATTAACTTTTCATGCTTCCCCAAGCAAGACCGAGTAGTATGTAGCTGCAGTAGCGGAGGCTGCAGTTTCAGGACCGCAATCCTAGGACCGGAACAGCATTTGTAGGACCCTTGTTTTCTCTGATACTGCTAGGTAGCTGGCTGGGTGTGTGCCTAAACCTAAGTTGTTGATTAAATGCATGTCGAACAGTTAACTCTGCCACCACCAATCCACTAGATGGCGTTGTTGCAAAAGAACTACGCTCCTAGAACTGCGTACCCAGGACTGTCGGGATCCTGAAATTGCAGCTTCCGGTACTGCAGCTACATAATATTGGCAATACCTCTGAACCAATTCCACTCTCAGGTGTGTGTGTGTGATTATGTGTGTAGAATAGTCAATGCATGGTCATATTACTATGGTTTTGTCTTTGAATGATTCTCTTACATTTCAGAATTAATAACTACAGTACTATATATGTAATCTTGTTTTAATCAATTATAATCAAGTGTTTTGGGAATACAGTCACAATGATATCTGGAAAGGAATACAAGATATGGCTAAATGTATTAATAGGACCATTGGGAAATAGATTGTAATGCGGTCTAATCCCTTTGTCACATCACCTTTAAGTCCCTGCACATATCTTAGGTAGTTTTACATGAAAATTTTTTGGCTGTTTCTGGCATTTCTTCAGTTTACCAGCCTGGAAATGTACAGCCAAACATTGTTTTGATGAAAATGTAGAGCTTTAAACTTCTCGAGAAATGCCAATAAAATTTTAATGAGACAAAACTCACCACACTCTGTTTCAGTTGAGAATTGGTGGGATCTCCTCAAAATCCTCCACTTCCTCCATTGATCCCAATGGAGTGTGTGGGGTCAGGCCTTTCGAACTCTTGGCAAGTTTGGTTAAGCTTAGTGGTCGAATAGCTTACTTTGGTAGTTAACTGCTGTTGCTGGTATTTAATGTACTCCAGTAAGCTGATGATTTGGACTTCTGCAGCTGTTAAAAAAAAGAAGAATATTAGAATATCTATATAAATTCCAGTCTGCTTTGTTTTTTGTTTTTACTAACTATGGGCCTTGATTTCATAAAGGTCAAATGAAGATTTACATTTTATACATATTTACTGTAGTACAGTTAATTATTAATACAACTAAAATGTTACACCTGCAGTAATGTTTTGTAATTGTTAGAGATTACTTGGCTCTTGGTCTTGAGAAATGTTGAGAGTAATGTAAAAAACAAATCTGTTAATTTTTTCTGTTCTAGCTTAAACTACATAGCAAGAACAGTAAATGTAACAGGAACAAGAATTTGGTGAGAATTCAGTGTGGCAGTCTGTGTGTTAAGTGTTACATCTGGATTATATAATTAAAAATCGTTAACATTTGAAAAGTAAAATGATTGAAAGGGTCAATTTTAATCTCAAAGCTGTTTGAGGTATAGCTCACCAGAGCAGGCAATTGCATGTGATCCATACCTCCCACCTCGCCAGGAAGGTCTGCAGACCTGGCTTGTAGAAGGGGTTTGCTAATCTACTGGTCTCCTGTCTTCAATCTGCAGACAGTGAGAGGGTGTAGTGGGTGCAGAAGGGACAATTGCGCCACTACTTGTCTGATCCACAACTCCCCTCTCGCCAGGTAGGTCTGTAGACCTGGCTTGTAGAAGGGGTTTGTTCATCTGCTGGTCTCCTGTGTTCCATCTGTGAGGAGGTGGAATGGGTGGAGGAGGTGCAACTGTGCCATTACTTGGCACACAGCAAGGTGATGGTGGAATAGGAGCTGGTGGTTGTGCTGAGGGTTTGGCTGGACACTAGCTCTCTTTTTTGGATGACCTTCCTCCTCACTTTCACCATCTGAGTCCCCAAAGAAATTACTATAAAGTGGATTAGAAAAATAGCAATATTTAGCAGTTAACATACTATCATGTTGATTTGCAGACTCCTTTTATTAATAAGACTTCTGAGAGTTCTGCCTTAACTTGTGCATTATCCTTACCTGGAGTCTTTGACAGAACAGAGAGTCTGTTTCTGTAACTGCAAATGAATGTTATTCTATATTTTAAGAAATAATAATTACCTAATTTCTTTGTCTGAAGGCCGATGAGTATCATAAACAATTATTTTTGCCAAATAAAAGTACAAGGCTGAGTGAATAATCAAATGTCACGATTAGTAGCTCAAGCCTATGGCATTTTACACTGCATATAACTGGGCAGCTAGCGGATTTTCCCTCTACTCATAGAGTAACAAATTACATATTATTTACACTTTTCTTACTCGGCTTTGGTTTAAGTAACTCCATCTCTCAACAAAATACCACTGTTGAATTTCAGCGCTAAGTAACATAATGAGCTCTTGTCAATTTGAGTAGTTAACCTGTCTCCGCCACACACACACACACACACACACACACACACACAGTATTGTTATTTCTTATTACATGGCCTATGGTGATTTTTGGGGTAATGCATATAATAAATGAAGCATTTGGTTTTAAAATGACAATAAATGCATGATGTGTCCTACGTCAATCAGTAACCATTTTAGATAATCGTGACGTCAGTAGTGACCAGAATAATTGTGATTATAATTTTTGCCATAACTGAGTAGTCCTATTCCTGTTGTGGCAGCCCGGCTGACGGTGAGTGTCCTGGTTATTTCTCCCTTTTTTTGTGTGTGATTCTGTTTTCCCTGTTTTTTTCTCTGTACTCTGCCTGCCTCCCTGTGTCTCCTCCCCCGTGTGTGCTCTCTCTCTCTCTCTCTCTCCCTCCACTCCTGAGCCCAGCCAACGACCCGCACCTGCACCTCGTCAGCCTGTGCCACACCTGCCAGCATCTCCAACAGTACTTCTACCCCGGTTCTCCACTCCATTGCTGCTTGATCGTCGTTGCTCCTTACCCGGTGCTGCTGATCACTTGAGCCCTCATATAACCTGCATGATCTCTGTTTCCCTGTTCTTGATTTTCCCTGAGTCACTAACCCTGTTTATCGGTCTGTCTCTCCCCAGGTTCACTCACCCTCGTCGGCTGGGCATGCTCACCTGCAATTCTTTGATTTCTTTTCGCTATCTGGCTTCACTAACCCTTTAACCCTTGTGTTGTCTTCGGGTCAAATTTGACCCGTTTTGAAATTCTTTTGTATGAAAAATGTGGTTTTATTTCATGAAATTACACCAAAATAACATGGATGCTTCCACACTATGCTCTAAACAAACAAACAAAATGATCACTACTTTCACCGAATTGTGGGTATTTTTTTCAAATTTATTCAGTTTTTGGTCTTCCCGGGTCAGATCTGACCCGGTGTTGCAAAAGGGTCAATAAGTCACGGTGTTTTGGTTTTCAGCAGATGAACACCTGCAGGGGTCCAACAAGGTACGCAGTGGCTCGCGTTGATAGTATAACGACTGCTTTTCAACTGTTTCTGCCAGACCAAGTTGAAAAAATTGTGCTGAACATGACCAACAAAGAGGGGCATCGTGTTTATGGCAATAAGTGGAGAGAGATGGATGGGATAGCTCTCCAGGCATACTTAGGTCTGTTGATTCTCGCTGGTGTATATCGATCCAATAAAGAATCCACGGCCAGTTTGTGGCATGCCCAGTCTGGTCGAGCAATTTTTGGGGCCACAATGCCCCTCAAAATGTTCCACATTATCTCAAGGGTCATTCGGTTCGACGATCGAGATACAAGAACAGCACGCCGTGCAAGTGACCAACTCGCTGCCATTCGTGATGTATGGGACAAGTGGGTGTGTCTCCTGCAGCAGATGTACAACCCGGGAGCTGATGTGACTGTGGATGAGCGCCTGGTCCCCTTCAGAGGTCGCTGTGCCTTCAAGCAATACATGCCTAATAAACCTGGGAAATATGGCATAAAGATCTGGACAGCGTGCGATGCCAGGACCAGCTATGCATTCAACATGCAAGTGTACACTGGCAAACCTGCTGATGGACAGCCAGAAAAAAACCAGGGCAAGCGTGTGGTTCTTGAGATGGCAGAAGGTCTCCGTGGACAAACAATCACTTGTGATAATTTTTTTACATCACATGCCCTTGGCCAGGAGCTGCTCAAGAGAAAGCTGTCCATGGTGGGAACAGTAAGGAAGAATAAACCTGAGCTTCCACCAGCACTGCTTGCCACAAAAGACAGGGCTCGATATTCTTCCAAGTTTGCGTTCTCTGAGACACATACTATTGTGTCCTATTGTCCCAAAAAAGGAAGAAATGTGCTTCTGATGAGCACTTTTCATCGGGATACTGCTGTCAGCGCCAGGGAAGACAAAAAGCCCCAAGTTATCCTTGACTACAACCACAACAAAGGGGGAGTGGACAACCTTGACAAGGTATTTCACTTTTTTCATGCAATATTTATTGTCATTCATGCAAAGTCCAATTCATTGCATTATGTGTAATAAAATATAGTGTAGTGTCAATTTTGAGTTATGTATTTGTTTCTTTTGTTGCAGGTTACAAGTGTGTACACATGTAAGAGGAAGACAGCCCGTTGGCCCCTGGTGATCTTTTATAACATACTAGATGTGTCTGCCTACAATTCATTTGTACTGTGGACTGAGATCAACCCAACATACAATCAGGGGAAGTGCCACAGGAGGAGGCTGTTCCTTGAGGAGCTTGGGAGAGAACTGGTGATGCCTCTAATCAAAAGACGCCAGGTTCTTCCCCGCGTGCCAGCATCTGCTTGGTTGTGGAAATCCAGACGGATGGACCCTCTACCTCCGCAGCAGCTCCTACTAACCCAGCTGCAGCCACAAGGAAGAGGTGCCGATTCTGCCCTGGCAAGAGTGATCTCAAAACCAGCATCAGGTGCCAAAATTGCATGGCAAACATTTGCAAAAAACATGCCATTATCACCACCCACTGCCCATCATGCAAATGATAGCACATTCACACAGAGACACACAACTGCACTTACACATGTAAGTAATAAACATGTATATTATACAAGTTTTGAAATGTTGAAACTAAAGTTTTAAGTTTTAGAAATAAATGTTGACTGTTCTATGTAAATGAATTTATTTAGCTCTTTGTTTACTCTGTTATTTGTGAATAAAATTCCATCAAATGTTGACCTAGGAATATATCAGTCTGTGATTATCCAAAATAAATAATAATTTCTGCTGGTTTCCTAAAAATTTTTAAAATTTAATGTAAATGAGGTTTATTGAAATGTAAAATGAATTGGTGATTAGCTGAAATAAAGTTTGCTGACATTGTGTAACACAGAATTGGGAGATCATTTTTTACATTATGCTTTAGAAACAGGCCAACCAGACCGGGTCAGTTTTGACCCATAAGGACAACAGGTGTGTATATGTGCTACCATTAAAAATAATGCAATGCTTCTAAAACAGTATCCTGACTCAACTTTGACATATACCAGTCTGTGATAATCCATCAACAAATAGTCCTCTGATCTTAACTATTAGTCAAAAGAATTCATAATTTCTGCTTTTTTTAGCTTATAAATTTGGTATAGTTTCATAAAAATGAGACATATTGACAAGAAATTCCATCAAGAAGTGTAAAAATAGTGGTAATAAGTGGTAATGAGTTAGAATGGAGTTGGCTAAGAAGGTGTAACACAGAATTGGGTGATTAGTTAAACTGGTTGCTTTAAAACCAGGCAAACCAGACCGGGTCAATTTTGACCTGGGAGGACAAAAAGTGCATGGTTGACGGGAAGAAAACACAAGGGTTAACAATCAAGGTCTGGATAAGCAGTTCCGCGAAGCTGGTTATCAACTCGGTAAGTCAACTCAGGGTTTCCCAATCCAACCGGGAGCGCATTCACATAAGAGGTGATGTTAGCAGCAGCAGCTGACCACTTGCAGACTTGAAGTCCAGTGTCATATTTTACAGACAAAAAGCCAACTAACACTACATAAATATGACATGGTCTAAGTAATGCAGCTGCTGCTGACACATGCAGGGAGACTGAACAAGTGGTCGTTCCACTTCTCAAGAACTTCTTAGAATTCATTTATTTAACACACTCAGAAGTGTCCCAAACATTGTTCTAAATTAACTTCATAAGCAATGAAATTAAAAATGTGCTCCAATAGTGTCAAAGACTGGATCTCAACATTTAGGCTACTGAAAACTCACCTCATTACCTGCACCCACACTGCAGAAGGTGGGGCAGTACATGACCAGTCTCTGTAGTAGGCATATAAGATAAATAAGTAGCCATTGATATTAAAATTAATTTCAATATCCCTGCCAAACTGCTCATAGCCAAACACTCAGCATCACATAAGGGGGGGAAAAAAAAGAAACCCACTTCTTTTAATGGCTGCGACAGACTGTGTGAAACAGACTGGCCCCCAGATAGGCTCCAGGTAATTGACTAACCTTCACACTCAATTAACGCTAGCTTTGCCTGTGTGAGTTGTCAAGTTTGTTAGACCCTAACACTGAATGACACAGTTGTGAAACTAAAGGTCAAAAAGGTAGGCCTAATGTGGAATAAAAAGAGGAATACACTAACATTTCCTTTCTCTTTTCCTCCTCTTCAGACTGTAGATATGTGTTGCAGGTCAAAGATTTTATTTTTTTTTTCATCAGTTGTTGTGCCTCGAAGTACTGATCTAAAAAAAATTAGGCTTCTTCTTTACTTGAGTTTGAAATTGACACTAGAAAAAACAGACTTATAGATAACAGAACAATGTTGATTTAAAAGGATTTTGAAATCCCATAACAAGGAAAATATGTTGATTTTACACTATGTATAATTGCCAGTTAGGTTTTTTTTTTTTTTTTTTAAATTGATGTACCACATGAATTAAGAACTCTGACACTGAATGTCTTCCAGTCAGGCCAGGCTGTTGTGCACTTTTTACCACCCTGTCCACTCTTTCATCACTTCTATAATTTGGCCAATACGCGACCCCATTGCTGCATCAGCTTTGTGGCACCACTGCTACTGTTTTGTTTATCACCTTGATTAAGAGGAAACAATATAACTTTAAGAAATATAACTTTCTGTTCTAAGAAGTTCTGAAACAAAAACAGTGATTAATCAAATACCTTCTATAGCCAACATTATTAATCATTTTTTTGCTGTTGCCAAAAAAAGAATTTTTGTCCAATTTATCTTAGGCATACTGTGATAATGAAGCTCCTCTTATCTGAAAGAATCAACTTATTTCTACACTCAAACACACAAACCAAATTCAAATTAACATTCTGAAAAGGTCATTGTTTTAGTAGTTTGTTTGGGTACGAAAAGACATTAGGTATAGAGTACAACATGTAATGGCTGGTTAGGTGTGTACACATTGAAGAGAAGCGACTTTAGTAAAGTACTCCTAGTCAATTCTTGTCCAGTTTCACAGATTGCAGTGTTTGTAGTGATGCAGTCAGTGTCAGTCTTTGTCACAGTCTCTAACCCTATTTTTGCTTAAACACCCACCCAATTAAAAGTAATCTGTGCAACCTCTTCAACTGCTAATATTTGATCACAAGTGCTACTAATACTATCTATACCCCCCCAAAATTCTTCGGGGGGGGGGGGAAGCTAAAAATGATCAAGTAATTGATCAAGTCATTTTTTTGGTTTGCAGATAAAAAAAATAATCTGATATGCCTCAATGGCTACTAAGTTATTACTGCCAGTTGTGCTTGGTGGAACTGCCAGCCAAGCATTAGGGACTGCTGCCAGGTACTGACCCAAATCTGTACAGCTGTGGTTCTTCTTTTAGTTTTAGCTTTGGGGTGGGTGTGTGTCAATTTGAGTACATAATTGCGAAGAGCACCATTAAAATATTAGATTTTTCTGATATAAGCTAACCCTAAAACTGAACAAAGGACAGACCAGTTGAGGTTTTGTTTTTCTACAAGTATGAAACGGGGATATGGCCACAAAACCATCTCTGAGGTAAAATAGCACATTTATGAACAAGCTCTGAAACTTTAACACACTTCAGTATATCTGTTTGTAAAATTGAATGAATATTTAGGGACTCAGAGTTTAATGGTTAAATGAAGAACAAAAATTCTCTGTATACTACAAATACTCCATCACTGCATTCTACAATGTTATGTATGCAACAAATGTAATTTCCAATTACCAAAAAATGGTCCCGGTTGAAACTTTAACAGTCCACTTGTCACAGGCCATCCCACCATAATGTGCTTTCACTGACTGTCCACCTACAATTGGCCCAACAAGTTTTTTTAAAAGAGGCAACATTTGAAGGTGCATCATTAACTCTCATCTCTGACAATCGACGGATAATTTGGGCAAGTGGAAAGTCTGCTTTCTGACTAGTTTTTTCAGCTTGTGCAGGTAACTTCCATAAGGAAATGCAGAAAATGAGTCAAGGCAACCATGTAGCTGTACTTCATCTGGCAGATGGACCAAACCATGTACTAAAGTTAATCTTTGCCATATATTTCACCAAAGTGACTAACAAAAGATCTAAGTAAGGGTTGAGCATACTGTGTGGCGGGATAGTCTATGGCTTACTAAAATGGCAATACCTGAGAAGAGTAGCGTGAAACTGCTGTACATATTTCTGACTAAATCAGCTATTAGACTTCTGCTTGGGAGGATTAGCAGTCAGCAGAGAATATATCCCGACGCTGTGCAGATCATAGCAGGGGATTTTAACCATATGGACCTAAAAGCAGAACTCCCTAAGTTTTATCAGCATGTAAAGTGTGGCACCAGAGGAGCAAATACACTGGACAAGGTCTATTCCAACATCAAATTAGGCTACAGGGCTAGACCAATACCACATTTGGGTCAGTCAGACCATTTGTCCCTACTTTTGATCCCTGCATATGCCCCACGCAGGAAAATGGACCCCATTATCAAAAAGACTGTTGCAACATGGCCTGATGGCCTCTCAGCAGCTGCAGGACTGCTTTAATACAACCAACTGGGGGGGTCTTTGAACATCAGGACCTGGAGGTGTTCAGACAGTGTATTATGCTACATTAGGAATTGCATAGACTCTGTCACAGTGGACAAACTGATCCGGGTCTACCCCAACCAGAAGCCATGGATAACCCGGGAGGTCCAGCAGCTGGTAAAGGACAGAAACACTGCCTTCAGGTCCAGAGACGGGGCTCTCTACAGCACGGCCCGAGCTAACCTAAAGAGAGGCATCAGAGAGGCCAAATCAAATTACAGGAGGAGGATCGAGGAACACCTGGGCAATAACAGCAGGCAGGTGTGGCAGGGAGTCCAGTATCTGACCAACTACAGGGCCAACCTCGGAGCTGCTGAAGGTGACATCTCGTTGGCAGAGGATTTGAACCTCTTCTTTGCCTGTTTTGAGATGACACCACCAGAGACAGCCACACCACACCTCACAGCCCACAGCAGCTTAAGTTGCGCAGTGGAGGATGAGGTCAAGGTCAAAGTTTATTTATATAGCACGTTTACAAACAGTCACTACTGCCCCAAAGTGCTGTACAGATACAGAGAACAGAATAAGATAAAAAGCATAATAGCCGAATAAAACCCTTCTAAAACAGAATATGCCAAAAACAGACAACAGATAAAAACTATATTTAACAACAATAAAGCCAGACAGGCAGCCAGTGGAGAGACGACAGTACAGGGGTGATGTGGTCACTGCGCCTTTTCCCTGTCAGCAGGCGTGCAGCCGCATTCTGAACTTATTGTAATCGGCGAACTGAAGACTGATCAAGGCCATAGTACAATGAGTTACAATAGTCCAGGCGATTTGTGATCAGGGCATGCACAACTTTTTCCAATTGGCTATGGGGCAGGTAAGGCTTGACCTTCCCAAGAAGTCTGAGCTGAAAGAAGCTTGTTTTTACCACTGAGCTAATCTGTTTATCGAGTTTAAAAGAACTGTCAATAAAAACACTAAGACTTTTTACAAATGGGCAGCAGTTTGAGGATATTGGGCCAAGAGCACTGTTAAAACCAGAGACATCGGGCTCCCCAAAAATTACAACTTCAGTTTTTTTTTGTCATTTAAGTTTTAAAAATTCAGTGACATCCAGTCTTTTACTTCATGTAGACATTTTCTCAGCGCTTCAACTGAGTTTGTTTTAGTATTCAAAGGTAGGTAAATTCGGACGTCATCTGCAAAGCAGT